GCGGTGCCCAGAACTGGACTCAGTACTCCAACTGCAGCCTGACCAACACAGCTTAGAGGGGAAGGATCACCTCCCTGGACCTGCTTGTGATGCATCTGTAGATGCACGACAAGGTGCGGTTAGCCTTACTGACTGCTTCCTCGCATTGGCGGCTCATGTTCAACCTGGAGTCAACAGTGACTCCAAGATCCCTTTCTGCCACCATGTTGACAAACGGTACTCCCCAGCCTATAGGTGTGTTGCTGGTTCCTTCTCCCTAGATGCAGTACCCTGTACTTGTCTGTGTTGAATTCCATCCTATTCTCATCCGCCCACCTCTGTAACCTGTCTAGATCTACCTGGATTCTGTCCTTCCCCTCCAGCATGCCCACCTCTCCCCACAACTTGGTGTCATCAGTGAATTTGGACAGTGTGCTTTCCACCCACACATCCTGATCTCTGATAAAGATGTCGAACAGTACAGGCCCCAAGACCAAGCCCTGGGAGACTCCACTGCCCACATCCCTCCAGGTCGAAAATGACTCATCCACCACCACTCTCTGGGTATGACCATCTAGCCAATTTGCCACTGGTCTGACTGTGTAGGCATCAATGCCGCAGTCACCTATTTTTTTTGAGAGAATGTAGTGGGAAACTGTGTCAAAGGCCTTCTTAAAGTCCAGAAAGATGACATCCACCCTGACACCCTCCTCCCTGGACTTTGTGACCTGATCATAAAAAGAAGCCAGGTTAGTCAGGCAGGAATTGCCCTCAATGAACCCATGTTGGTTGCCCCTGAGCATTACCCCCCTGCTGGGCCCTTGCAGATGTGCTTCTTGATAATTTTCTCAAAGGTCTTCCCAAGGACAGAGGTAAGACTGACTGGCCTATAATTGCTGGGGTCCTCCTTTTTCCCCTTCTTGTAAATGGGGACCACACCTGCCCTTTTCCAGTCCTCTGGTACCTGGCCAGCGCCCCATGAGCACTTAGAGCCATGCCAGGGGCCCCGCTATGACCCCTGCCAATTCCCTCAGCACCCTCAGGTGAAGAGCATCTGGACCTACTGATTTAAACACATCCAGCCCCTCCAAAAGTTCCCTAACTAGATCATCCCTGACCCTAGGCATGGCGATGCCTCCCCTGGGTCCATCCACAATTCTAGTGGGGGAGATGTGCTGGTCCCTGTTCAGGAATATGGAGGCAATATGGAAATATTTATCCACACACAGGCCCAAACTGCTGCCAAAGAAGCAATGCTATAAAAATGGTAAGGAAAAAATTACTTGTTCTGGTAGGTGCTGATGGTCACATGAGTAGAATAAGAAACACCAGGAGGAGTATTGGCTTGGTAGATAGTCCCTCTTGGAAAGTAAACAAGTCACCTGGCTTTAATTGTGTTGATGCTGATCACAATTTATTTTTCATCCCCTGCTGTTGAGCTAATTATTCTTAAGCAGGTGTCTTTATACTCCCACGTGACCTCTTTTGGTGTTCATTCAGTCAGAGACTTAGAATTATCATGGGAGCAGATTTTAGTGAAACCTGTGCTCCTTGGTGAGAGCCATCTCATGCCTGTTGCTCGTATTTTGCATTACCAAATCAGAGGGTGGGATTGAGTTATGACAAATGTGCCTTTCATTTTACAGTGTCTCTCCTTGGTGCCAGATCAGTGGGGCTTTAGAGTGCTGGAGGGATCATGTGCCTAGTACATTACATGTATGTGCTTCAAATGATAGACTTCATGGAAGTCAATCAGTAATGCCCTACATCCTGGACCATGAGGGTGAACCACCCACTAACAGTAACAGCAGCCTAACCCCAACTGTTGGTTCTGTCTGTGATTTTCAGTCCTGCCAATCTCACCAGCTTTCCTAGAGACTGTAGGTTTTCTATATCTGTAAGATGTATATATCTATAAGGAAAACCTGTCAATCTGTGGAGAAATGTCCCTTTGATTGGTTCCCTGCCTCAGGAAGGACAGACTTGTACTGAGAGACACCATCTTCCCCTGGCACCCTCAGTTGGCTTTTGTCTCCATTTCCCCTCTGGGCACTGTGGGCTGGAGCTCAGCTCCATCTCAGAGCCAGCTGGGGACCTGGTGCGAGATGTTGATCTCTTTCTCCTCAGTGAAGCCCTTGCTGTTGGTCCCTTCTCCAACCCTCAGTTGTGGGGTAGTGAGGAGCTACTGCTGCTGGGTGTTGTCTCACTGTCCACCCTAGCCAGCCCTAGGAGTTGATGAGGGGGCATGGGACAAAAAGGAACAGAGCCACTCCTGTAGTAGAAGTGCCCACTTTGTGTAGAGCGGGTGTGCTCAGGGACATGGAACAAGTTTGTTTGTGCATGTGGCAATTATGGTAG